AAAAAAACCCCAAGAAAAAACTAAAAAAATTAAAATATAAAATAAAAAAAAATCGCTCGAAAATTTTTTTATTTTGGCAAAATTTGGCAAAATCCGGGTGAGGATTTTGGGGTCCCCGGGGGGGGGTTGGGGTCAGGATTTTGGGGTCCCCCCGGGGTCGGAATTTGGCAAAATTTGGGGTCCCCGGGTGAGGATTTCGGGGTCTCATTTTGGGGGGAATTTGGCAAAATTTGGGGCAGATTTTGGGGTCCCCTGGGTGGAATTTGGGGCTGAATTTGGGGGTCCCCGGGTCAGAATTTTGGGTAAAATTTCGCAGATTTTGGGGTCCCCTGGGGGATTTTTGGGGTCAGAATTTTGGGGTTCCCCCGGTCAGGATTTTGGGTGAAATTTGGCAGATTTTGCGGTTCCCTTGGTCAGGATTTTGGGGTCCCCCGGGTCCCATTTTGGGCTGAATTTTGGGTAAAATTTGGCGGATTTTGGGGTCTTTGGGGTCCCATTTTTGGGCTGAATTTTGGGTGAAATTTGGCGGATTTTGGGGTTCCCCGGGTCAGAATTTTGGGTAAAATTTGGCGGATTTTGGGATTCCCTTGGTCAGGATTTTGGGGTCTCTTGGGTCCCATTTTGGGGCTGAATTTTGGGTGAAATTTGGCGGATTTTGGGGTCCCCTGGGGGATTTTTGGGGTCAGAATTTTGGGATTCCCTTGGTCAGGATTTTGGGGTCTCTTGGGTCCCATTTTTGGGCTGAATTTTGGGTAAAATTTCGCAGATTTTGGGGTTCCCCGGGTCAGAATTTTGGGCAGAATTTCGCAGATTTTGGGGTCTTTTGGGTCCCATTTTGGGGTCAGAATTTTGCGTAAAATTTCGCAGATTTTGGGGTTCCCCGGGTCAGAATTTTGGGTAAAATTCCGCAGATTTTGGGGTCCCCTGGGGGATTTTTGGGGTCAGAATTTTGGGGTTCCCTTGGTCAGGATTTTGGGGTCCCCCGGGTCCCATTTTTGGGCTGAATTTTGGGTGAAATTTGGCGGATTTTGGGGTTCCCTTGGTCAGGATTTTGGGGTCTTTTGGGTCCCATTTTTGGGCTGAATTTTGGGTAAAATTCCGCAGATTTTGGGGTCTCTTGGGTCACATTTTTGGGGCTGAAATTTGGCGGATTTTGGGGTCCCCCGGGTCAGAATTTTGGGCAGAATTTGGCGGATTTTGGGGTCTCTTGGGTCCGGATTTTGGGTCCGGATTTTGGGGTCCCCTCCCCGCCCCTCCCCCCCCTTAGAGGAGCCGCCCCCCCCCCGAGTGGACGCTGAAATATTCGGGGCCCCCCCCGTGGGGGAGGGGCGGGGGCTGCCCCCCCTTGGGTGGGGGAGGGGCGGGGGAGCCCCCGTTTTTTTTTGGTTTTTTTTTTTTTTTTTTTTTTTTTTTTTTTTGGGTT